ATATATATATCGCTGTACAGTAATTAAGCTATCTTAAGATTACAAATCACGAAGGGTCACTGCCCTTGGTAAAGTATGTACGCAAAGTTTTGCACTTAGACATTTTTGGATGAATAAAGTAGTAGTTACCGAGCAAGCATCGAGTGAAGATCGCCTCACTTCTCCGAGCACCTCTAAGACTCTCCGCTGCCTTACAACCAGCGTAAAATCCACACATCAGTCCTTCTGCTCTCAGCTTTGAACCCGGCGCCATCTTCAGAGCGCACGCTGGCTTCATACATCATTAAACTGAATATAAATTCATGGTATTTTTTTACTACACTAAATTGTACTAATAGGTATTATTTTGTATTAGACTGTATATATATATGCGTTGTATATATATATATATATATATATATATATATATATATATATAAATAAAATTATTAACAAATCTTAAAAGATTTATACAAGTGCAAACAAACATTATTACCAATTTTCATCTCATATCTGAAATATATTATATCTATGGCCAACAAAAAAATAAAAAAATAAATTAGGTCACTTTGTATTAAAATCTATGTAGATGAAATGCGGGCAAAGACAAGTTATCTATAAAATTGTTAATGTTAAACATGTTTCATATAGGATTTATTACCATCCCAACGCAAAAGTTTACAAATATACTTCTTGCACACCTGTACATCACGTTTATTCAATCCGATTAACATCTCCAATTAAACAGCGAGTTTTTCCATCCATTTTGTGTCTAAGTACGTTTTTCCGACTGCGTTAAATGTCCATGTGAACATTAACTGGTACGCGCATGAGTTGCTTCAATGCATCCATGCGTTTGTTCTGCGCGGTGTTCTTGTTGTTGTTGTTTTTATGCGGTTCTGGGCAAAATTAACATTTGCATAAATTCCCATGATCGCGCGCGACGGGCGTTCGTGAATCATCTCGAGCTGGCAATCTCCGGCATCCTGGGAATTGAACTTTTTGAGGCGCGCACTGGTGCGAAATTAATAGGCGCTCGCAATGACGACTGCGATCTAGCGATTCGTCGCGTTATTAATAATAATAAGTAGTAATAAGCGTGCTGGTCATAACACAACGCAAAACAAAGCGCAAAGCGCGCAAAGGTCAAGTATATTCTTCGATTGCCGAGGCGTCACTTTCCTTTTCGTTTTTACTGTGTATTTACAGCTTAACAATGTAACAATCATTTGATTTATAATGTTAACTATTTTATTATTGCACAAGCTTAGAAATTTAAACCTATTTTATTATGTAGGTATCAAATTTTCTCCTCTTCTTTAACATAGGTACGTTATGTATATTAACCTATTTTTATTCAATTTCAAAGAAAATCTATTGTTACAACCATTAATATTTCAAATTTAAAGAAAAAAAGAACCCTTTTGCTTGTAAAATTGTTTGTGATTTAGTTTTTTTTATTTGAGAAATTAAGTAAAAAAAATTAATAACATCATCTCCTATCTATATCATAAATGAACTGCTGTTCGTTAGTCTCGCTAAAACTCAAAAACGACTGAAAATTTGCGAGGAAAATGCTATTTTTTATGTGGTGCCAAAATTTAACTTTAATCAAAAAGAAAATGGCAAAGGAAACAACATTCTTTTTAAATATTGTTTTATATATATTAAAACATATAAAAAAATTAAATATTAGTCTGCATAAGGTAAGAATTGAGATTTTTTTTATTTTGTTTAAATAAAAAATAAGAGTTAAATGTTTGCATTCAGTAACATAAACATCCAGGTTTTCAAGTTCTAATATAGCGTGAATAAGGTAAATTGTTATTTATCTATTAATTGTTGAAATGCTATTAGCATCGTCTTGTGCAATAAACACAAAAATGTTCACTTCACCTAAATTCTTCTAATTTGCGTTGAAATAACAGCGTGCTTGTTTATAGTGGCATGCGCCGTGTTTCGCCAAAAAGTATGTTTAATTAAAGTGTAATTGTTTTTGAAGCTCGCGAATTCGTAGTTTGTAAAATGTTAATTATTGCTGAATGTTAAAATAATTGTAAACTGCAAATGTTACAAGATTACGAATTTCAATCGCGCCAACGATTTTAAACTTGACCTCGATTCGTTACATAAACGCGGTTCGTGCACGCAATCCTCTCGTACGCGAATGCATCGTGCGGTTTTCACTCTTCTTATGCGAATCCCCACCTTCTCCAATGTATGTACATACAAATATTTAAGATGTAACACAAACCAACAAGCAAAAGTTTTCGAGGCATTTATAAAAGTAAAAATACTTTTCACAATAAACGTGGCGCCATCTATTAAACTTTAGTTTAAGTTCTCAAGTTTGAATTATTATAGTTTACTGTAATTATATTTATGCAAATAAATTTGAACATAAGACACATTTTTTAATTCAATTTATATTAATTTCGACTATGGTAAATAACAGGCGTAACAAAACAATAAAGTAACATAATCTTTTTATAGAAATGAATAATTAGCGTGGATATAATAAAACTTTGCAAAAAAAAAACGAATAAATGAATGAACGATCATCCGACAAATGAATGATTGATGAATGGTATTAGCATAATGTCGATTGGCGGGCGATTTTTTTAAATGTTAGAACTTAAATATACACCATTCGCGATGGGTAGGTGGCGATGTCGCGATGTATGTTTTTGTTTCTCGGTGTCGTTTCCATTCCCATTCCGTTTCAACTGTTCGCCATGCTCATTGTAATTGAATAATTATTATTCCGACGAATGCGGCATGTAGGAGTGCACACAAGATAATTTTGCACTGTCTGTCGCTAAAATTAACAAACATGCCAAATATTAGTACCTCATTTGAACTTACAGTCCAGCGGTCATTTTGTTTAAATTTTGTTTAACTTTCTCGTAGTGTTAATGTTTTAGTCATCATATTATATATGACATAATTTATAATAAAATTATGATTATGAAAACATGTTGTATTTGTTTTCATACCGATCTGTTTAAGACTTGTACGAAGCCCGCGGAGCGTATTTAGTATTTGGTTCATTAAAACAAATGAATGAAACATTAACGCCGAGTAGGAACACGTGTGCGTCCCGCGCGTTTAACAGCATCCAGTCTGACATCCAACTGACAATTGTTCAGTCATATTCATTACAAAACATATTCGTATTTTACGTAAATGTCACAATAATTATTAAGATAGTGGTGAAAAGTCGGCATAAATAAGTAAAATAAAAAGTGGTTGCAATTTATGTGGCTGTGAACTATTCTGTGATATTCTTCAAAGACCAAAAGGATTGGACACCTATTTAAGCATGCAGAAACGTGTACAATTTCAAATTCCACCGCCGAAGTTTCATGGAGGTAGAAAATGGGCGACACGCAGTCTGGTACGTAAAATTATCTTACTGATGTAGGGATTTCTTATTGTATAATTAAATAATATTGAAATATAGACTGGAATACAGTCGAAAATTAATAGATTATAATTAAAAAGCGCATGTGCACATTTCGAAGTGTCCACCTTTTAATTGATCTTTACCACCATGTAATAAATTACTCATTGAAACAAATTTGTAACTGAACTGTACCTACTTAAACACAATTTTATAATTATAAAAATTATTCCTATATTTTTTCTTGAAATGTATCATTTTTATGGATTGCCGTTTCATGTAGTGATGTTCATAATATAAATTATACGGCTATAAGCGCCGCTATATACTTACATTTGTATTCTTTTGAATATATACAAATTGCTCATTACTGCTAAAGTTTTTTATTTAAAATTCAATAGGGGGCAGGATTTTACGATAATTGTAACAAAGCGGTACATTTTTACAGAAACAGCAAAATTAGTACGTGCAAAATAAAACTTATTTCAGAGAAAAGCACGTTACAATCATAAATATCGAGATCCATTTTATAATTTTAATGCAATATAATTCATTTGAATTACATCGGAAAGTGAACACCTTTTTGATAATAATTATTACTCAATAGTTTTTATTTAAAAAAAAAGCAATAATTTGCTATCCATAAAACTGGAGTGTCTATGAAAATATTAAATGCATAGCTTTGGAAAATATACCTACTATAAGAAAAAGAAATTGATTACCCAATAAATAAACTTAATGGCTTCCCAAAAACATATATTGTTTTGGAAATAAAAGACAAAAAACTATTTTTTGAGTGACAAATCAAATGCTTCGAATCAATTTTGTATCACGATTGTATTTTACCGCTTTACAGTTAGGTGAAATGTGGTGAACTAATTATCGTTTGCGTGACGATTATCTTTATAACCGTTCTTCATAATTATTTCATACCTCTTTAAATCACCCCTGGTAAAGATCCTTTTTCTATTGGATGCGCACTACAATTGCGCACTAGAAAACCCACGTATATACTCGTAGTAAATCTCGAGTTGCATCGCGCAGCGCACATCACACGACGCCGTAACTCGTGACGGACGTGACGATTTGGCACAGTGCAACGGACGCCGCAACGGAAACTTAATAACTAACAATAACTAAACAAACTTAACTAACATCGACATTTAAATAAACATATCGTATAAAATTAATACTCTAATTAGTTTATACGGTAACAAATTATTGTGTTACGCTGTGTATAAACGTTGCATCTGATAATTTCAAAATAAAAATATGAATTTCAATAAGCATATATTCATTTTCATAATATAAAGTGGGTGTTTTTAATAATTGTGGTGTTTCAATGTGGAATGTGAACATGAATCAGAATTTATTTGATTATTTTATGGAATATCGGCGTACCTTTTAAATAAAACTCATATATACAAAGTAAGTGTAGAAACTAAAAAGTATTAACTTATATGCACAGTAAATATTTTATTAAATATTATAAAATATCCTAGTTTAGTAGATCTATTCGTAGATTCTAGAAGCATATGTTATTTAAGGTCGTTGATCAACAAAGAGTTTTTCATAGCGCTGTTCAGTCATCTCTGCTATTATTAGGGGTGCAACTGGGTGCACAAGCATACCATGGTATAAGCAAGGCGCAGATGGTTTTCGGCATTGCGTGGTGGTTCGAATTAAATACCAAAACGAACAACGGACAAAAAGAACCAGTACACGTGACACAAACAAAGCGCCATGACTAGCTACCAAACACGTCCGCATCCAATATAGGTGTTCAAACTCATACATAGAAATTCGATAGTATCTAAGAACGAGGGTGATTATTTTCTTGTAGGAATTCTTATTTTATTTACCTGCTTGTAACTTGTACGTGTAGGCAAGGTAATAATAGGAGTAGTTTTTATTTGTTCCGATAAAATACACAAGAATTTCTTCTCAATCGCTATCTAAGTTTAAATTATCATTACTTAGTAAATATTTGTCTTATGGTTATATAGATAGTGATAATAACAATTCATCAAGTCATATAAACACATTCGAGAAGTGTTTGATAGTTCTTGTTATGTAAGTGTTGTTGCAATATTTCAATGTGTCTGTGACACCCTCAACGGCAGTTAGATTGCGAAAATGCGTCTAGCAAGAGTCTGGGGATGAGCAGGCGGGCTGCACGAATTGTATCGATCGCCAAAATTCGGATGCAACGAGGGCTAACAAGAGATAGCCAATGCGACGGAATGCACCAACATCCCAATAAGTCCCAATGAGTTTGCGTTGCGACGTTTTTTAGCACAGGCTGTTCCTTGGTTATACTCGTAGTTTTACCCCTCGTGTTTTGCGAGGTTCTAGAACTCATGACAGCTTAATATAAACGTACACGTGCACTACTAAGAGTTTGGTGAAATTGGATTTTCAGATTTCAACCCTTCTTAGTTGCAATGATAGGGTTTCTTGAAAAGGTTAGGGGTAAAAATAGATTTGTGTACGTACGATAGCAATAATATAATCATATTTTAAATTTAGTTCACGTCAATAAATTAATAGCGTTTATGTTGGCAATATCGCAATTTACATGTAGTTCTGCAATCGTTTTCTATTGTTTGTCTGTATTTAAGAAAACACAGATTAAACTTAAATATGAGTATAAATTCACCTGAATTAGAACAGAAAAGAAGAAAACACATCATATTCAATAGTTTTTCATAGAAATGTTTTCTAAAATAATTTAATTTTTTATTTTTCTTTGTGAGCACTGCGTACGTTTACGCTCCACGCGCTTACCCGACCTATATGAGCACCTGCCGTGCTACCGCAAACCGTCAACAGCGTCAACACTCAACCATATCGAACAAGGAAACAAATGCATAAAAACTCTTACAATTATTATTTTAAAAAGTTTACACTGTAGCGAATCTCGGGTGATAATTTGTTATACGACACATACTACGCCGAATTGTGAACTTGGTTGCCTAGCCTCAAACATCAAGTACGTAAGAAATATTCTGAAGCGCAATTTCACTAAGTGAACTCTAGCTAGAAATAGTGTTGGCGTTTGTATTTTACGCCATTTAAAACTGTAACGCGGTTACAATTCAACGGACTGCTTTTATTGGTGTATCTACTTACAATGCCAAGGCCGCTTCAAGTGCTATTTGTGTGTCGCGTGCATAATTTGCGTACTATTTACGTTGGCAAATTTTTAATTGGCGACGGCGCATTTAATTTATTGCTGACTTGAATCAAAATCTTTAAACATTTATAACAAGTAAACTATTCAACGTACTAATATTTAAAAAATCAATGGCTAGATAAATTAAGATTCTCATTTTACAGGGTAATTTAATGTATTAATAGCTTGATTAAGTGCATATAAATTAATTTATCTAAATTACAGTACAAATAAAGTACCTTCTACTAGAGAAATGTGAGAAGAAGACTTCCAGTGAAGCCGAATATTCATTCGCTCTTGCCGATTATTGTATTTGACTGTTGGCGCCATACATTTTTATATTAATAATTTAAATTCATATTATTGTTATAAAATTTTAAGTTTTGTCGATATACTTTGGCTAATCTACATCTTCAACATTTCGTTGTACAGTAGATAGTAAAACATACTTTAAAATGCATCACAATGCGATTGAATTATAAGTTTATAACTATTAAATCCAAAAATGGAAATGATTTGTTATGTAGGTACCTAAATAATTAAAATGATTAAATGATTACATGATCAAATTTATTTTACTTTTTTATTTACTTTTTTGCCATACCTCCATGTTCATCTGTAGATTTCGTCTTTTTCTGCTCCGTTTCGTATTTTGTTCATTTTGTGCTCTATTTATTTAAGCATTTATGTGTTTTGTATTTCTGAGTGGCCGAATATTCGTTTTTTTTTGTAAACTTTAGTTACTTTTTTCGACTATACAGAGAATAATTGCTACATTTCTAGTTTGTACTTCACAAAGAGTTGTCATGCTTATTGTGTGATAACATTAATATTAATATTTACTATTTCAAAGCAAATTAATTTGAAATCAATTTTACTTTTTATTTTATTAGGACTTGTTTCACTTCTTCCCAATTTAGAGTTATTATCGTATACCCTGTTATAATTTTATTATTGTTAGTATTATTAAAAGCATAACACTAAAAATAGCAACTAATAGAAACACATGGTTGTTTGCATTTGAGTGCTTTAGTAAGTACTTACGTTTGTACTACCTATATTTAGTAATTTAATTGTTTGATTTGATAGTGTGTTATCGTTTGCCGCCGCACGCCGCATGAATTTATGCATCGATGCAGTTTATTGAACTCTAGCGTTCAGTGTGCACGGTGTGATAAACTTTGTTTATTTATTCATTCACCAATCCGCCTGCTCATGGATTTATTCAAATGCGTACAAATAGCCGGCACTCTACGCGAACACTACCTATAATAAGCGCACAGCTTGAGCTGTTGACGGCGTTGTAAGTTGTATGACAATCGAGTTTACACTTTATTGTTCTAACTTGCTGTTTGATCACTGATAAGCGTTTAGTTATGAGTACTTACAGATATTTTCATTTTATGTTACAAGTTGCACTTAAATCTAATAAATGAAATAAAATGTAAATAAAAGTGGAAATTTCAGTCACTTAGGTTCACTTCCGGTTAAATTAGAGATGAATTATAAACATAAATTTGTCTCTAATTCAATTCCATATCATTATAGCTCGTTAAATATTAACAACATAATATTATTAAAGCAAATTATACTTTCTACGAGTATGTATCATTACAACTAGCTAATAACTTTGGTATGTGTTATCTACTCTAAAACGCATTTCTTATCTCATGATAAGAAGTTAATTTCGAGTTTGGAAATGCGAACATTACATATTTGATTTGATTATGTGTTTGGTACCTTCCTATCGACTAATATCACGAATCGTACTCAACTATATTACTAAAGTACAGGTTGGGTTAACAAGAAACAAACTTGTTACATTGATAAGCGAAGCAATTTCTATCGGAATTTCGTTCGTGAGTGTAGAATGTGTTGTGCGATGATGCGCGCTTATCTCAACGCGCATCTCGACGATAACGACCCTGGGAGTGGCGGGCGCGCCGGGCGCCGACAGTCGCGTGCTGCGCGCCGCCCGAATTCGCGAACGTGAACAATACACGACGGCTATAAAAATGAACATTAATTTGCACTAAGGGACTAGAGCTACCTTGGGTAGAATCGTTGAAATCATAGAACATGCGTGCGTGTGATGTTGACTAATTTGGTTTATGATATTTGCATTGCGGAACACTAAACTAGTGATACATTCGCTATATCGGATACTACACAGCCAGCAAAATGAGTAGTGTGTTTTCTAGATTCAAAAAGGTGTGATACTACTTGGAATTTAATCAGTTAATAGTCATCTCAACATTAAATTTCTAAATTTAAAATTATTTGTATAAATATAAATATATTCATCGTTTATTTTTATTTATTGTTTTGCAGAAGGAGAACGATCCGTCGGGGGGTGCTGACGAGTATGAAAAGGTCCAGTTGCGTCCTAAGTCACTAGACACAAGTCAAAAGTAAGTTTTGCAGTTACAGGTATTACTCAGTAGCGTACAATGTATATAATAATTGAAGTCATACTTTAATGCTCTATAACTGTTAAATCATACAACTTGTTGCAGAAAAAAATCCAATCTATTGGCTCCAACGATTTCCTCATCGTCTAAAGCGACATCGCTATCAGCATCAAAGAAAACCCGTCCAGTAGGCGATTGGGTATCCGAACGTAAAAATGGTCAATCCACATATAAAGTAGCACAGAAAAACAACAATTTATACAAGGTAATAATATTTACTTGAAGACCACAGTCTATATTCCAATTTTGTTTATCTAATTGCATGCGGAAGTACCTACATATTATATAATTTTAAACAGATTCGTCGTAGACAACTAAGCTTGCCTACAAGTAGGTATTGATGAGAGGGTTGGAAGTTCCCACGGGTCAGCTATTCTCAAATAAAATTTCAAAAATTGTTCTTATAAAAATGAAACAAAATCAAATTTTTACTAAAACTAAATAGGTTAATACCTCGATTTCTAAAAATCAAAAAAAAAGTTTAATCTTTTTAAATACTATGTTATCAATTTAAGAGAACCCGTTTTTTCATGATTTTCTCAAAAATAGTTTAAAACATCTAAATGAAAAATACTTAATTCAATCAAAAACTTATTCCACGTATATTTCACAGCCTGGGTTGACCAAATCAACGCCAAACCTAGCCGAGAATCGATTTCGTTCTGCAGAGAAGAAAACTGCATCTTTACAACGTGGAAAGGGGCTCATTGTTAACACCGCAATTCCTCGAGCAGGCGTAAGGTAAAATCAATTACATTTAATTATTACTGCGCAAAACTATACGTGTAACAAATTTACCTCAAAATCAAAATTTTCGAAAAAGTAAAAGAAATTCAAATATTCACCGCATTTTACAACATATTAATATCTTATGGCTTAAACCAATAAGACATGCACAAGGTTGTTATTCAAGATAAAAAATGGAAATGTGTCAAATGACGCGCAGATCTAAATCTAAATTATTTATTCAATTAGTAATATATACCTAATATTTACTACGTTCACGGATTCACGGTATGAGTAAATGGCATACCTGTTGCAAAGGATTCGTCATCACTTCCCGTTGATAAACATGTTTACTTTTTAGATGATTCTATTCATTCCACACAACAGAATGAATCTTTGTTAAATCGGATACTCTGATAACAAATACTTTAATGTAAATACATGTTTTCAAAATATGCAGAGTACATTAACGACGAACGATATAATTTTATGCATTCTTAGAATTATTCAAGCTCATGACTTCAAGTTTCACAACAATTTTATTACTCGACCATCGACATTGACGGCTACTCTGTTTTCTAATTATACATTTGTGCATTTGCATATTAATTTCAGTATGCTGCATTTCTATCATATTATTACAAGCAATATAAATAACGAGCTAGTCATAATTGCGGTCACTATCAAATATGACACAAACCTAAAGAGATAAAATAAATAAAGCAGATTTAAAAAATAAGAAATACGCATGGTTACTCATGAAATTGAAAACGAGTGACGAGACTTTCAACGAGACGCGACAACATGGGTCGTAAATCAACTGTAGCGTATTTTAATACGCGTCGTTAATAGTGATATCCATGATAATTCGCGAGAAACGACTAATGCATAAGACAAATCCAAGATGGCGGCTAAACTAATAGTGGAAAAGCAGATACAGGCGTTTTTTAGCAGTCTACAGGTAGACTTTTTACCACGATAATTGTTATTAATTCCTAAGAATTTAATTTTTAAATATTGTGATTTATGTGTAGGTGATGAGACACCCAATGGTCATGCGATGGCCACTTGATTTCAGCGGTAACTTGAGGACGATAGCGATTAGTACTGTAAACAACACACCGTTTGTCACTACACCTCCAGTCGTATTACCATGGGCCTCATTACTGGCGGTAGTCGTGTCGGGACACCAGATCGGAACACCAGGAGTTTTGTAAAGCGGGACATCTTCATGCATTCCAACATACATCAAGAGATTGTTAGTTTGCGTTCGAGGATTCGCGGTAAAGAGAATTTTATATTTAAAAACTTGATAAAATAAATTCAAACAAAAATAATTAAATTAAATTAAATTAAATTTTACAGAGCTACAATGGGAGTTGGCTTATGTCAAGAGATCCAGTCTTAATCTACCACCTATACCAGAGAAGGATAAACCAAAGGTAATAATTATTTAAATAAAAATTGAATTTTGAATAAAAAGTGAATTTTCAATTTGTTAGTTTTTCTCACACTTATAGAATATTTATCTTATCTTTGTTGTTTGTTAACTGAAGAATAATTTATGTTTTAGCCTCAGAGCAACAATGCGGTACCCTCGCAAGTACAGGCATTAGAAAAAGAACTCCGGGCGATAAAGAAACAATTACAAGAGGCCGAAAATCGCAATGCGTATCTGTCTGCCATTGTCGATGAACAGAAAAGGTTAGTCTTCACTTTTATAAAATAATTACCATTTTATTTGTGTCTCCTTCTGATTATTTTCTTCAGAAAACTGGAACGTTATGAACGTAATCGTGAACGTGCACGTGAAAGAGGTTTCCTACCGAATCCCGAACTGCTTCGTAAACTGGACGAAGCCGAATCGTTCATCCGGCGTCTTCGTCGCGATAACTCCGATCTCCGCAAAGAGAACTCCAGCGTTATGGTGGCAAACCATCAACGTGATTACCGAAACAATGGCACACGCCGTCGTTGTGGCATGCCTGTTGTTGGTGGTGCCAGTTCTTTAGGTGATACTTCAAATCTGTACAGCACTGGTCCAGCTGGTGTTCATTGGCAGTTATGCCGCCCGAGTTGGTTTCCGATGCATGTGCACAACTACTGGCAGCAGTATAGCCGCCCACAGGCATCCCACTTATACAGTCTTCCGCAATTGTCGGGCGTTGGCTACCCGCAACAGGGAGTGATGGTAGCCAGGCGTGGCATTCATTCGGCTAGTGCTGGGACCAGTGGAACAGGTAACAACGCCTGTGGCGGTGGTGGTGGTAGCAACAATCAATATCCAAACAATCTGAATGGCGAGCGTAAATATTGGGGTAACCAACCAAGCCAGGGACAAAAATAAAGAAAATAAGACTTTATAAAATAAGAATTTTAGTTTTAATTTAGAAATAATTTGAATATATTGTTAGGTTAGGTTTTTTTTAATGATAGCAAGGACCTGTAAACGCATTGTTCAAAGGAAAGTAGAATAATAATTCATGGCTAGAATACTTCAACTGTATTAGTAACTATAAGTATATATTGTAATTAATTACCGTTTATAATGTTTTACTATTTCTTTGAATTAATAAATAGTCTTATATCAAAACAAACAGAAAATGTGTTTTCTATTTGTGGACTTGAACGATAGATGGACGACGTAAAACTAGCATGACAGATCCCCTTAGGTTAGGTGCAAGATGGTACCCTGGAAACGTCACATTGTTTGCGCATGCGTACCAATAACAAAACACGTTTTGACAGAAGATTTTGTAGGGTTCGCAGAGGTTAGGTCGGAGTGCGCTCAAGAAAGCTTGAATTAAAGTGATTGTATTGAGGTTTTAATGGCAGAATACTTCGGTCCGCTGTACCATTCGGGAGATCATAAGAATGTGCTTCCGCTCGGCGAATTGCGCGGTGTACCTGCTGGCTCCAGGTATGTAAACGGGCAATTTCCCTGCTCGCAATACAGACCGATGAGAACCGGGAATGGTTTTTGGGCTGATCCCAAACTAGGTAAGTACCCTTTACTTCACATTTCACATGATAATGACTCTTATTTTTGTTCGTTCTTTATGCGGCTGCAGCTGTTTGCATTCAGCCGCAAAAGAGGAATAAAGAAAATAATTTTGGAATGCCTCGCAATCCAGTTGGATACACCAGTGCTACTGGCGGTGCAATTTACGAAAATTGGGGCCCAAATCTTGGCGCTGACCCGGTGGCTACATGGTCGAACCGCGACGGAGAGCAAGCCCAGGCATCCATTCTACAGAATGTCACCAATTTGCCTGTAATGCCGTATTGCCCTATCGCACCAATTGAGAATGACGAATGGGCATCAAGTGGAATAGTGAAATTCCACGACAAGGCACTAGTAGCTGAATACACGAAGGACCCAGAGAATAATGTGGAACTGGGGCAGGTACGCGTGAAACAATTATTCAAGAGGAAGTTCTTTGCTGATTTGATGAACACGCTGGAACACGAAGACGAAGACGTGTTTGTTAAGTTGAAGCCAATCGCGGGCGCCAAGGCCAACGCCAACGAAGCTTAATTATAGTTAAAATAGTTAAGTATGATGCAAAAGTGCGTGGCGCGAATGTTTTTGATAATATTTTGTGATATGAAAATTGTGATCATTTGAGACTCTGAAACATTTGCAAAACCGAGTTAATACGCGATGTGCAATTAAATTAAAGAGAACATTGATATTATTATAAACTCACTGTATAAAATACGACACAACTACGCACTGGGATTGTATACCTATGACCTACCCTTGAGAAATGGTGGGGGTAAGCAGTATAATACTAAAAAATCAGTGATTACTTCATACAAATAGTACCTACATTCGACAAATGAAGATTTGGATCAAAATGTTGTAAAAAAATAAATTACAAAGTATTTTATTAAACAAAAAAGCTAATAACAAAGGAATATTATATTCTAATTCCATTGTGGTTCAAATAATAGTATTGCAAAGCGTTGCATGTAACACTGCCGACGGCTGCTAACTTCGTTCTTTCTTCGACGGTCAGATGTCGCACGGAGTTCAAACAATAACATAAAATACTCTTATACCTGTGCATTGACTTGAAGTGTTTGTTCTCATGACAAAGTTTTATCAGTACAGCCTCGACAGTGAGTGATAAATGCTACAAAAAGGCAAGTAATGATCAAGAAATGTTTCTGTATTTAAGAACCGAGCTGTTTGTGCTTAATGTAAAATTAAAAATTAATAAACACAATTTCTTCAAGTTGCATCCGTAAAATGTAGCCGGTTGGGCTGCGAGCGAGCAAAGATTAAGTCGGTAAATACTCGTAGCTATGTCGGCCGGAAATGAGACTCAAAACAATCGTTGTTGAAAGACTTAGCGCGCTTCTTTCATGTTGATTAAAATTGTACACAAAACGGTACAATTCGAAATTTTTCCAAGAATAAAACATTTTCTACAAAAAAAATTAAAATTTTTATAGGAAAAGTTGTAATTTGGGTAATAACATCGCAGCAATAGCAATAACAAAAGGAAATAATTGTATTTTCAAGTTAAAAACATTAAATTCTCAAAATTTTCATTAATTAATATCCCACACTACGTTTTACCAAATAAAAAAAAAAACAATTGTTCCAACGAAATAATTACAGCGAAAGCAGAAAAAAAAGTTTAATAATTATTGTTTAGTTTTAATTGGTTTAGTTCGGTGAAAAAGTGTCTGGACACAAGTTTAAATGATATGCGCGGTGCACGCACGATTTTAGCGCGTTAATTAAGTTTTGATTATTTTGCACGCATTTTAATTCAAACAGAGGAAAATCCGGAGGCGATGGAAACTTCCTCACACGCGGCGGCAAATTGCCGGTACACGATGTAATTTCGCGAGGTAAAAAGGCAAATGTGGTCGTCATTACGTGCAATTGCGTGGGTCTAATTAAAACCCACTAATTAATGTTTCATTGCTGAGTTACACTCGTGTGAGGATGTTTAAAGTCCAAATTTGCGACTGCTCATCGCATTCGAAATAAAATAAATAAAAGAACTCTCCATCCAACACCTAATAATATCAAATATTCTTCATTTATATTTTATTGCAAATTATTGCGTTATTCACGCCGTGATTTATTGTTTTAATGAAGAATTGCGTGTAACTACGCATAAAAATCGATTGAACGCACAAACTATCTTGATTAAAAATTCATCGCTCTAAAACCATACAAAATTAGTGAATGATTAATAATTTCGCATTGTATATGCACATAAAATATAGCAATGGAATATTTTGATTCGCGAGGCGAAAACCAAACAATTTTTATGATGAAGCACTTGCTGTTACAATAAAAAATGCCGTTTGCATGCCGGTGTGATTTGAATTTTCATCGCGCGTGTATAATTTTCGCATCGCCAGCCGAATATCGATGCTCGGTGGCCGCGTCAACGCGCTTCAAATGCAAACACGCTTATCAACTGTCAATTGTACTAAATGCTTTCCATATGCAAACTTGATGCCAACTCATACAAGAGGTGTGTCGATGATGGTGATAACACCTTGCCATTGTTGGATTTGACGCAATGCAATGCGCATTTATCATCGCACAATCAAAAATTGGCGTGGGTGACACTTGCAGCTATTTATCTGCGTATTATTTTGATCTGTAATTGCGATAGGCGTCTTTTTATCGTGAATAATATTTGATATTTCATAATAAATTGATCAATTACATTTTTTCGGAATTTTTGCATTTGTGGGACTAAATTTTGTTTCGTTGAATTTATTAACTATCGTGGAATATTGAAATTAATTTTTTAATTTAGATTAAATATTAACGAGTTGTCAAATTGTGTCGTAGGCGTGTTTTATGGAATGCCTACTCTCGGCGCTTGTCGAAAAGTTACATAACCTTTAAAATTAATACATAACCTTATAATTAAAAAAATATAATTAAAAACTATCGAAATGCATCACATTTTTACAAATTAGTTTTCTTTTCTTTCTCAGAATCTGACCTTTTACGTTTTTTAATAAAAAAAAATTTAATTGAATTTTATATTTAAATTTCGAATTGATTTTAACAAGTTTTACATTGTATATTAATAGTAATCCTCAGTCAATTAGCAATATTTGCTTTATCAGCTTATCAGCGATAGGAAAAAATGCGCGGTAATTAGCGTGTTGATTCATGTAATTCGCCAAATGCAATGTCACAAATGCTGCAAAACAGCTAAACAAACACGAGAGTCAAGTTGATGCGCGATGTAATTGCAGAAATGTGTTGATAACACGAACGCAAATAAAACAACACTATTACCCCATGCATTATATTTAATACTAAATATACACACGACGCTTTTCGATAACGGGTTGACGTTGTGTTTTTGTTATTCAAACGTTGAAATTGGGCGAATCAGGATTTTAAGTCGCTGGAAGTGAAAAGCGAAAGAATTTGAACGTTTGCGATGCCTCCTTGACTCTTGTCAATTTTCGCCGTAGACGTGCGCCTTGTTTGGACACACAAAGTTTCCACGCATTAGGCACGAACAGCGGCGGCGAACGTATGATGGCATCGCTGTAATTTCATTTCGCGCGGCCCCTTCTTGTATTAAGAATGCAAATTCTTGAGACGTGCCGTTTTGATTCTCGTCTCAAATCAACAGCTTTTCGTTATTATCATACCAAATATCAACATAAAATAAACAAACTGAATTGTATTTCAATCATTTTTTATGTTTTTTTTTATTATTTTTATATCAAAATAGCCAAAAATTAAATTTTTCGATGTTTTACGTCGAAATTTTTGATTTCATTCATTAGAGTATTGCGTATGTGCCGAAATTGTTTGTTTTTACCTGTGATACCAACGCACTACGATGATTGGCGGACGGTCGGACGCAGCGTCGCCGAGGATGACGTCGCCGCCGCCGCCGCCGACACCAAGTGAAAGGCGGCTATATAGGCGCCGCGCCGCGCGGCTCGACACGCCATACACGACGGGCCCGCACACAGTCCGTCGAGGAGCCGCACGAGCGCACACAACGCCACAAACGCCGCCGCCACCACCGCCACAGACCGACCAGAAACAGTGTTATCCAGCTGCGGAGCGCTTCTGCACCAACTGCACTCGTGAGCGCATTTATTTCGAACTTGCGCAACTCTTCAACAATCCACAAAGTGTCGATTTTGGCTCGCAAAAAAGTTACAATCAATCGGCGCCGCCGGAAAGAATCCGTTCGCCATTATTCAACAGTTTTCGAAGAAACTTGTTGCTGCAATCGTCCACGTTCTGCACTCTAATAGTCAAGTAAGTCCGAAAAATTTATTCTCCACTACTTCGTAACTAGTTTATATAAAATATGTTTAAAAAATGTGATTACCTACGTTTTATTTAAGGCACTTTTTTGAAACTTTTTTAATTCCGCGTTTAACTCCTCTTGGAGGCAAGGGTTAATTTTGAAAAGTTCAACTTTTACTTTAACGCAAATGATGTTAGCACAAAACGAAATTGTTCCGCGCAGTGGAAGCGTTTCAGTCAAGATTCAAGTTCGCCTAGGCAAACTTTTCCTCCTTATTGAAACATTAGACAAATTTTTGAAGAAGAAAAAAAACGTCAGCGTGTTTAAATTTTATTTTGCTAACCAAATCAACGGTTTTGCATAAATATTCGACGCGGTAACACAATATTTTCTTCGACGAGCAATAAAACACCACACAATATTAAGAACCGAATTCAATTTCCTTAATTTTGTCGCTTGTCGTAAAATTACATCGATATTAAATTTTCTATCGTCGACTGCAACGACGAAATTTTTTATCCGCAACACGATCTCCACTTAAACTTGTTATCGCGATTAAACATTTTCATTTAATATCTATTATTTTACAACATGCATTCATAACGCGGTCAAAGACGAGTTTTATGAACTTTTTTTTCACATCGTGATAAAAGATGGGAATGATCAGAGTGTTCGCAGGTCTTCGGACTGATATCAGACGAAGTGACTACCCCGATACGCCCTCCAACACGCGAAATAACTTTCAACCTTCGATTGAGACGTGCGATAACTCGTAGTCTTTGTTTAAATAAGAATACGCGCACGGTTGGCGCACCACCCGGCAGTTATGACACTTTATAGGCAATGCAGTAAAATGTATCCAACTAAAAGTAGGAAATTTTTACGGCTTTCATGTACAATGAGTCTGCAACAAGTCCGCAGCGCGCACGGCTTAGCCTCTTAGACTTTTCGAGGAAACGCTTTTTTGCGCGTAAATTTAATCAAATTTATTTTACATCTGCGAGAAACGACGGACAAAGTTTTAACGGAATATGTCGACCTTCTTCATGCGCCGCTGCTGCACGAAAAGAATACTTTAGTGAACAAATTAACACACAAGCTGAAAAAATTACATTTTTATCAAAATTCGTTTTTTTAATCAATTTTTTTTCGATGTGGACCCACTGTATGCAAAGTGATGCAAACTTAGAGTTGTAAATAAGTCAAGTGCGTGAATATAAACAACGCAAGGCCATAACCGGCGCGCGGAAAAACTTATTTTCCTTTTTTAACTCGTTTATTAGTTTATTTACGGTAATAACATTGTGGTTGGCAGTTGGCAGTTTCCAGTTATGATTCTTCCAACTTCCTACGTGAAATATACTGTAATGGAACAAAAATCTACTTTACAAAGGTGATAGGGGCATAGAATAAAAGATAAACTATCACACAATACGTATTCTGTATTGCAATGACAACAACAAACAAACCGGCAGTTGAACAAGTGCAGTCGAGCATAAACATGTTGCAACGCAAGCAATTATTTACTTTAAACTAAAATATGAAATAATTGTGCGTGAACTTGAAGGTGAAAATGTCGCAACTTCACTAAAGACAAATAATATAGTCGCGAATACATTCGACGCTTTCCATTCGGTAATGAGGTTGTAATTGCGCGCGGGTGAACAACTAATTAGTTGCGGGTTTTGCACCACCACATCACACGCTGACGGCCGGCAGGCGACGGAAGGATGCGAGGATTTTTCCCAGCAAATTGGGATCGCGTAAGTATTGGCAAACGTCGTTAACTGACGAGAGTTTAAACTCGGCGATTTCTGAAAAATTACACGCTGCAGCTTATTCAATCTTTATTTATTAGGTCACAGGTGTGTTTTGTACAATGCACAGCGCAAAATTTATTTATTTATTAAGATTTAAGATTTATTTAAGCCTCGCATGCTTTAAACGTTAATGCAACTCGCAAACTTTGTCATTATTTACCTATTTTTGTCCTTGGTTGGTGCATTTTCTCATCCTAAGAATTTACTTGTTTTTAAATAACATCGAGATGTTTTCCTTCGCGTTATTAACCAAACAATGCATGTGTAAGCCGCTGCGTTCGTTAGCAGTCGTAAAAAATACACCTGGTGTCCTCATGAAGATGCAGCCGAACGCTGGCAACATGAATAATTTCCATTTGCCTTACGTGCGCGGCGAGCGACGGACGTGGCGGTGAGGAACCAGGCAGGATGCGGTTTGTTTTTTAGGTTCTCGGTTGGCGGCCCGCAGCGGAAGCATGTAGCAAACGCGCAGCGCACCCTCTTAATTGCACCGCCGCTGGTTTTGGTCCGGCGGCGGCGGCGGCAGCATTGCCACCCTCATAAAAACACTTCAAGTGCCCCCACGCGCCCACGTCGACAGATAGTTTGGAACACAAATGAATGCATTAACTTGCAACTAACAAATGTGCAAGCATAAGGGTTTATAGTGAACCTGGGGTGAAAAATAAATTCTCAAAGCATTGTCTGCTCGCAGCAGACAGTTTTTGAGTAGCAGAAATTTACATGTTTTTGATCTTTTGATTACAAATAGAATTTGTTTGAATTCAAGCAGAAAACCGGATTCTTTTGATAAATAAAGTTTAAATATTAGTTCCCCATGGCGGTGAAAGTTTATTTTACATGTAAAAATTTATAAATTAAATTTTACGCTTGAAATCATCACAAAAAACACTAAATTTCAACTTGTGCTACACCGAAGCGAAAGTAGTTGGGTGGTTGACAATGACCACTCTCCGACTTAGGTCCGGTGATCGATAAGAAGGGTCTGTAAAGGACGCGCAACTGGCAAAAGGCAAGATAATTAATTTAGTTGATTGGAGAGGCGCGTACGCGGCCGGCGTAATTGTGCGCTTGTTTACAGAAGTCGCAAATAAATTTTACAATTTACACGCGCGCTTTGTCTATGGTCATCGATTCGGTCTGAAAAGGTTAACAAGTTAACATCTTTCCCCGCAAGACCACTAACACGGGCATAACCTAATTAAGAACTTCTGGAAACTTTCGATGTATCATACAAGAACAACCACAATTCGATTTTGTACAAATCGAATGCAAAAAAAGTTTTGTCTTGATCAGGTTAATGAATTTCGCAAATTGACAGCCTGTAGAAGAAAAAAAATATGCGTAGATGTAAATCTTAGCAAAGTAGTTTTAAACCAATTTGCGTTTGATGCAGGTAGCTAGTGTTTAGTGGACGAAAATTGGCTGCAACATCAAAGGTGCGACACGTCAACAACAGTTATCCGGCTAACAACTCAGTGGTTTGCCGATTTCTTGCCACTTTAAACGCCTTCCCTTCGATATCAGCCCAAACCGCTATTTTTAACCTCCTCGCCGATAAAGAAAGCAACAATTTTTTATTTTATTGAACATACGTATCGTTCAGACCAACGTTGAGTTTAACACGTTAAGGACGGCGTGTACCACCGGTGGTACACACGCGTCTGGTCTGTGGGACGGCGTGTACCACCGGTGGAACACGGCTCATTTGAAACGAGACTTATTCATTTTTGACTACGCCACTGGTTAGGTTATATCTTCTCCTCGTTTCACCTATACAATCAGGGCCTTGCATCTTTGTCATCAAATGTGTCACTCAGATTACATATTATAATAAATAGTGACCGACCAAAGTTTCAGTTTTGGCTTCAAATTTGGTTTCGGCCAAAAATTGGCTGAAACTTTTGGCAGAACCGAAACTCAGTGTTCGTGAATTATCGTGCGTCGTTCGGCTAACTCGCGGCTAAGTCGTGGTCGTCACTTGCCATCTCAGTTCGCACATAGTTTCGGTCGGACTCTAAAGATAAAGGCATTCATTACAAAGAAAATAAATAAATGGCGACGCAACTGCAAAAACAATCGCTTTTTGATACAGCAATGCATAACCACCAGTGGCGCACAGCTGAATTAATTAGACGGAGTTGAAAATGCTCAAACGCCGCCCGATGCGACAGACACCCAAAAACCGCGCCGTCCTCAACGTGTTAAAGAACGTGGAAAACCTTATGTAAAACAGCACGCATTCCGCTGCCTACACGAATCCCACTGAGGAAACATTAATCAACTTCTCCGCGACAAATACCTGCCTTTTGTATCCACCCACATTTCGACGGCAGCAGATAGAAATGAAATCAAACAGGTGTTCATTGATTTTCACCCGCAGCGCACAGCAGCGCAGCAGATAAACATGTCCCGTTGGAAATTTTGTTCTTATCCGGCGCACACATCACAAACGTTTCGTGCACGCAAAATGCAGCACGGCGACATATCAACGAGCATAAATAATTGATGTTTATCCGCACACGCTCGCGTGAAATCTGTTCATCCCAATGGGAAATTATTATGATAATTTGTTGGCGGTGAGAAGTTTAATACGCGCGTGTTAAAAGGCTTGCATTCAAATTACGAAACGGTAACACAACTTCTCCCACCGTGTGAATCACGAGGAATAAATTTTATTTTTTTTTCATTTTACAGCTTTAAATAAAATTGATCGAAAGTTAAACATTCAGTGAATTTATTACGAAATATTAATAGCATCATAATTCAATCGGATTTCGTTTGATATTTTCTTCGATTTCGTCAACTTTTCTAATATTTGACTTTCCAGATTACTTTTCGCCCTTCTGTCCACCCGCTGGCGGATTAATTAATAATTAATAAGTTTTCTTCGATGTCGCTATATGTATTTTTGTTTCTAAATGCCGGGCAAAAATCAACAAGTCAAGGTTTTACATCTCCAGCTAAAAACACGAAATTAATTTGCAATCTTTTGAAATACCTGCGTGAAACTAGAATGTTAGATTTATATTAATTCCCAGATGAATGTTTAATTAGTTCTACGGCGGAAGTCCAATGAAAAGTCCACATTGACATTGGTTTTGCTCAAATATTTCATGAGATATCACGCCGGTAGGTTTGGGAATAGAAATTTTGTTGTAATTTCAAACTAGGAAAATCAGTACAATTGAATATAACTGACATTCAAACCTGGGCGAAAAAATAGCAGTGATGTTTAAAAATAAACCAACAAAAGCTCGCCCACAACAGCAGATGAGCGTAAATCATCCCAGAAAGATTAAGCTTCGATTTAATTTGATGTATTTATAGACCTCGAGTAGCAGATGAGCGTCTGTAAAAATTCTACATAAACAATGCGACAGGGTGGGCTGAAAGGACATTTCAATTTTGCAATTTTTTAAGACCGCTATATTCTTGTCAACTAAACAATCAAATTACTTTTCATAAAAATATGTGAAAGTGTGCCTACGTTGTCTGAAAATATGTATTAAACAATAATTTGTCATGTAGCTGTCATGTTGATTTCGCATTTTTGCGTTATTTTGCGTTATTCTTCATGAAACAGAGTAAAAAAATTGAATGAAATTTTGAGTTAAAAATAACAATATAAGCCGCATGCTCCTGGTTACATAAACTGGAATGTTTAAGTTGGCGTAATGTACGAAATTAAAGTAGAAATTTTTAAATGTCTCAGCTGTGTGTCCCTAACAAGGTATTTCGCATGTGGGATGTTTTTCTACACGTGTAAAAATGCGCCCGGTGCTCCGTCAACATAACGCACATATTTTCGCTTTTTATTCCTGCACAATACTCTTTATTTGGAGAATTCTCCACGGCCGCCTCTGCGACGATGGCGTTTCGTTTTCGTGTTCGTTTTTTGGTTTCGCGCAAGCTTTGTCCAAAGAAAGAAAAGGCGGCGTAAACATTTGAATGGCGCACAGTAGTGCGGCACGTGCTACAATTCCGGTGCATATTTGGCGAAACCTGTTAAGGGTTACCTCTTCAACTTAAACACGCGTGCGGATTTCGCGGCGGGCGCGTCGGGAGCGCTAAAAGAAAACCACACCTAAACAAAGATTTATTCCGATTTATGCAAAACACCCGGCTTTGTGTATTCGATTTAGCCGCTCAGTTGTGCGCCGACTGAACTCAGGAATAAGTCGCGACGACGGCATGAATGAAATCGAAAAGTAGAGGAACTTGGAAAAAAGGAAAACATAACAAAGCAAATAATGCTATCAGCCTAAACACACATCCAGGACAAATATAATAATCAGAAAGGAGCTAAATCTATCATGAAACACAAAACAAAACACGAAATAAACTCTTTTTCTTAAAAAAAATACTGCACGTGTTTCAAGTAGGTAAATCAAATTTATTATACTTGTGACAGAATTATTAAATATTTTGATGTAGAAATGTAATATGTCATAGGTTTACCACCGAAAGACACACATGTGAAGCAAGGGAACTTTGTGGTTTCTTGCAGTGTGGCGTTTTCAAGTTGTGTCTCAATCTTTCGTCAACCATCGCGCCCACACGCATTCCCCGCAGTAATAAACATGCTCGCCGAGTGCGACCTTTGCGTTATTTTCTACTCATGTCCTGATCCCGCAAGGATAACTACCTAACCATAAGAACAACTTAAACCTATTAGTCAAACCGAGTTGTAACAGCTTCAATGCATCATGACAAGATAAATTGACAGACAGATAAAAATCAGACTCTAAACAAATTCAGCAGCTAGGAATAACTCATGTTTACTTAATTTTGACTTTTATATTGTGCAAAATTCATATTTATTCAAAATTGATGAATTTTACTTAATTGTTTATGTTGCAACTGAAAAACTTGGAGTTTTATTTGATTGCTTAAATTTTTATGTTGGTACTATTCTCGTAATACATTATTCAAATGAAACA